GCAAAATGACCAATATAACCAAAAGAAACCATCATATTCACGAAAATGTCATCTTCATCAATTTCTTCAACCACCATGAACAACCAAATTGAAGCTATAAATGCTTCCCAAACCGGTTTTTCTTATCTAAATTCTCCATCGTTGAGCTTATAACTTCTTTATCTTCTATTTCCTCTACAATTTCATCCAAAAACTTCTCTTATTTTTATTTTATAATTTTTCTCTCTAACAACCAAAATACTTCTTGTGGTTCTTGCATAACGGCGTCTCGGCTTTGTTCTGACATGTGAGATTCGAAGTTTCAGGGGTGACGAAACTAACAACGAGCTTAAACGGCGAAAAAGATAAACTCACTTGATTTTTGCCCGTTTTCAGATCTACTTCGCGAAAGTAGACTTCTTTTATAGTCTACAGGTCAACGAAGAGGTTATATTTGCAATTGACCATTTTTAAAAATATCCAAAGTAGACTGACAAAGAAGTCTACGTGTTTTCCTTTGGAAACAAAAAAAAAACATGTGTAGACTTCATATAAAGTCTACTTTAACTGAGGTTAGTTTTGCATTTGACTAAAAATTTGACTTTTTAGAGCAGACTTCTTTTATAGTCTACTTGCCGTAGACTATAAAAGAAGTCTAATTTGAGGTCAGTTTTGCATTTGACTCAATTTTGACTTTTCATAGTGACTGCAAAAGAAGTCTACTTTTAGAAAATAGGTTAGTTTTGTGTTTGACTAAAACTTCAAAATTTTGACCATGGATAAATATCTATGTAGACTGCAAAAGAAGTCTACTTATAAAGTAGATTTCTTTTGCAGTCTACTATTTAATTAAATCGAGATTTTGGTCAAACACAAAACTAACCTCTTTTTTCAGTGTAGACTTCTTTTGCAGTCTACTTAGAAAGTAGATTGTAAAAGAAGTCTATTTCAAAAAGTCAAATTTTAGTCAATTGCAAATCTAACTCAACACGTAAGACGAAGTCTACATACGAAGTCTACTTTTGATTGTAGACTGTAAAAGAAGTCTACTTTGAAAAATGATTTTCCGTGTATCGTGTAGACTGCAAAAGAAGTCTACATGAAAAAGTAGACTGAAAAAGATGTCTACACTTATAATGTCAAAGTTTTGGTCAATTGCAAAAATAACCCAAATTGTTGTGTAGACTGCAAAAGAAGTCACGTACTTTTGCTATGATTGTAAAACTAACCTGACAGGTCAGACGAAGTCTATAGACAAAGTCTACAATTGTAGACTTCTTTTTCAGTCGACATTTACGGTTTCACTAATTATTTATTTATAATTAATTAGTAATGAATTTTGTGGTTTTTATTTTTTTCTAAATCCGTGTTAATTATGATGTTTTCATGTCTAAAAATTAG